AAACTCTGGAGACCAATGGTTATTTTTATACTTTTACATACAGTGATTTTTGCAGGTTCAAATCTCATTTTAAATATGCTCAGTTGACTGTTTTGTGATTACAGATTAATAGACCTATTAAAGGTCATTAACATCACTGTTAGTTTAAGGCTTTTAAAAATCCAGCTTAGGTACCAGATATATTTTCCTTTTACAAAATGTGGAATACAGTCTTAATTTCCAGTGTAATGCCAATACATTTAAAATTATTGTCAGAGAGAAATGGAAACGTTGACAACCTTGAAAAAAGCTTGTCACTTTTATTTTTAAACTTATAAGTTATTTTCATTAGTTGTCTATTTTTTACACAACAGTGTATGCACGTCAAGCTCAATCTCCCAATTCATCCCTCTACCCTTGGGCCCCCTGGTATTCATACATCCATTCTCTATGCCTATATCTCTATTTTTGCTTTGCAAATAAGTTCATCTGAATCATTTGTCTAGATTCCGTATATAAGCAATGTTATACAATATTTATTTTTCTTTCTGACTTGCCTCACTCTGTATGACAGTCTCTAGGTCTATCCACGTCTCTGCAAATTACACAATTTCATCCCTTTTAATGAGTAATATTTCATTGCATATATGGACCACTTCTTCTGTGTCTATTCTTCTGTTGATGGACATTTAGGTTACTTCTTTGTCCTGGTTATTGTGAATAAAATAGATAACTAATGAGAACCTATTGTGTATCATAGGGAGCTCCACTCAATGCTGTCTGGTGACCTAAATGGGAATGAAATCCAAAAAAAAGGGATATATATTTATGTGTATATATATATATGTATATATATTCATATAACTGATTCATTTTGGTGTACAGCAGAAGCTCACCCAACAAGGTAAAGTAACTACACTCCAATAAAAATTAATGAGAAACAAAAAACTAAATTATATAAATGTGTTAATATAAGTAATTAAATCATATTAAAAACAAGGATTTTACTCCAAAAAAAATAAACTTACAATTTATTCATTATGATGTTTTTGTCTTTCATTTTCTTTAATAATCCAGTTGTCTTCAAGTTCTTTTAAACAAAACCTCTAATGAGTTTTATGATACCTTGTGAAATTCAAGGTGTGAATAGAATCTGCATCATTCTGCATTATTCATCTCATAATCTGTTGCATGTGATTTTAGTCCATTTGGCAATTACTTCGTGAACAACATTTACAGCACAATAAAGCTTCCTGTCCAGTCCTAAGTGTTACAGTTAAGAGCAGCTCAGGCCCCAGATCACTTATAAGAAAGGCTCCATCACCATTATTCTTGCTAATGAGCAGGCAGACATATTATTTAATTCAGTTTCTTCTGATTCCCAGGTATATGAGTGATGGTTTATTAATCAATTAGAGATAAGGCTACAGGCATATTTCCTGGGACAAAAGGAGGAGTACACAACATGAAAGAGAAATGTGAAAGTTTGACAACTCTTCACCAGACATTCCAGTGCAACACTTATCCTCTCATTAACAACTGAACTCTTTCCAAAAGTGGTCTTAATGCTAAATGCTTGAATATTTATGCAGAGTTATTTTTCATAATTGATTGGTGCAATTGTGAAATTTTTAGCATGAAAATAATTGTAATATTGGATCCAAGCCATTATATCAAACTCATAGTATCTAACACCTACTGTAGTAGATGCCTGCGCGCCTGCGCGCCTGCATGCTGTTGCTTCAGTCATGTCTGACTCTGTGCCACCACATGGACTATAGCCCTCCAGGCGCCTCTGTCCATGGGATTCTCCAGGCAAGGATACTGGAGTGGGTCGCCATGCCCTCCTCCAGGGGATCGTCCTGACCCAAGGATGTACCTGCATGCACCATGCCTCCTCCGTCAGCAGGCGGCTTTCTGCTTTACCACTAGCACCAACTGGGACGCCCATTGTATCAGATACACAGTCCCAATTAACAAATTTCCCAGAAAACATGTTGGCTTAAGACAACGCATCTCCATATTCTTAGAGCTCCTGTGGCTCAGGAATAAGGAAAGGGCTTTGCGGGCTAGGTCTGGGTCACCCTGTTTGGGTGGCCATCTGGGTACTGACTTGGGCCACTGTCACCTGGACGCTCAGCTGGGCTGGAGGCTTTGCTTCTGAGTTGGCTCACTCTCCTGGCTTTGTGGGGAGGCCTCAGCACCTGACCACATGGGCATCTCCGCAGCTTGCTTGAGAGACAGCTCGCTTTCCTCAGGGCCAGTGACCCCAGAGAGGGAGGAGGAAGCCTCCACACCAGGTTTGAGTTTGTCACATACAGTCACGTCCGTCATGTGTGATCTTTAGAAATGGACACTAAGTCCTGCACACTCAGTAGAGAGGACTTAGGCTCTAATATTTGGGGAGGGGAGTGTGGAAGGCACTGTGTAGTTTCCTAAAATCATCTCATATAGAAAAACGTCAGGTCAACTGAACAGAGTATTTTCTGGGGATGCTGCCTTTACTCAACTTCTTTACTGCCTCTATAGTAACAATCCTGTTATTTCTAGCAGTACATTGTAAAATTTCAGCATACTTAAACCAGTTATTCCACGAAAGAAAACTGTAACTTTGTAAAAGAGTTCAATAACCTTAACAGTAATTACAAGCATAAACCTAAAATGAGTTTTTGAAACATAATTTCTTTTAAAATGAAGGTGTTAGCAGTATTAAACAGATTTCAATCTGCATAAGAATTATATAGAGATATTTAATCTTGTTTAAGATGGATTTATGAAAACAGTGCTGTTGCTTAGTCCCTCAACCACGTACAACTCTTTGCGACCCTTTGGACTATAGCCCTCCAGGATCCTCTGTCCATGGAATCCTCCGGGCAAGAATGCTGGAGTGGGTTGCCACTTCCTTCTGCAAGGGAATATGACTGACCCAGGGCTCAAACCTACATCTCCTTTGTCTTCTGCATTACAGGTAGATTCTTTACCCACTGAGCCATAGCGGAAGCCCATGAAAATGGCAGATCAACCCAAATGTATTTATATCACAGCAAAGTTATCCCACAAGGGACCTTGTAAAGTTCTTGTGGACGAGGAAATTAGCCAGTTAAATAGTTTATCAATATTCATAATTTCATTAAATGAGCTGATTATCAGATGCAGGACTTTGTTCTCAGGCCTGCTCCATTGCTGTTTTGTATCATCAATCAGTTTAATGGAGCAAAGGAGATACACCTGGAATGATACTGTGCTGCTGAAAGTGAGCCTGCTTTAGGACAGATTTATCACTCAGAAAGACGCCCATGCGTGAGGCTGGGCTCAATAACACGATATTTAGCTGTGATAATTATAAAATCCTGGGCCTGGGTCATAGGAATAAACTGCACAGGTACAGGAAGACTAGAAACACTTTTAAAACTTAGTGAAAACTTTTCATTACTTTTGAGATCAATCTGAGCCAACACTATGATGGACAGCCAAGCCTGCTCATGAGACCAGAACTTGTGTTGGTAAAAGTGTAGGAGGAGAATGAGGCTGTTCTGAGTCCTGACAAAGTCAGTGCCCCACTGACCATAGTGGACTATTATATGTGCTTCAATAAATGATCTAGTTAGAGAGACAAATACAGATTCACAGGTGCCCAAATAAAAGAGGGGAGGAAAATAGCTCAGGCCAGTGATAGTAATGATGCTTACTTTTAATTATGCCCTCTTTGTGTACCTTTTGGAAGTGAGTCTCAGTGGATTATTTTACAGATTCATGTTCTATGAAGCATCAAAATGAGGTGAATAACTGCACTAGTTCTGAAATCAGATAATCAGAACTCAAATCTCCCCTTTACAATGTAATACAAAGTTACTTGATTTCTTGTCACTTGCTTCTTGCAAATACAAACACTCAAGCTTGCCCAACATGGAATTATTGTGTGAATACACATATCTTGACATACGTGGTGAAACTTGTAAAATTCAAGGATGAAGAGAAAATATTCTAATCTCCAAAAAGTAGTGGGAAGAAACCTAGACTGTTACTTAAGAGGAATCAAACTAAATAAGCATTTCAAACTAAAAATGTAGAGAAACTTCAAAAAAGTGGGGGAAATCTATCAGTGATGAGATATGCAGACTATAGGCCATGAGAGGGTATAATTAACAAGTCATTGTTAAAGGGATTAAGATATGCAAAGATTCAAAGTTTGTAATTCACATAGTAAGCATATATGTGAAAATTGCTCCATATATAGGAATAATAAAATGCAATTATATTATACCTCATTTAAAATACTTATAAGAAATACTGAATTTAATTAATACTGAAATACTCCACTTTAAATTAGACATAAGCATACAAGTGTTTCCCTTAATCTTAACCATTAGGATATTAAGAATTATTCATTGTTAATTTTCTGATTAGACAAGCAAGGGAAAAGATGTCTAATATCTAGTGTGAATGATAAATAATAATATAACTTTTCTGTGTGATTTGATCAATGAAAATTACTGTATTTCTCTATATATATCTCATGTTTCCAATAAACAGAAAATTAAAGTAATGAATGCTAATTGAAAAAAGAAAACAAAACACTGCTTTCTTTCTACATTGACCTGGTCTGAGAAGAAATGTCAGGATTTTGGTTTCTGATGAGAATGGAAAAGAAGGAAAAAGAGGGAAGATGAGCCACAAGATAAAATCTGTACTTTCATTTCTTAAGATGCTACTTCAGTCAACCAAGGTTAGGACTTCTGTACTTAAGGAGAATTCATTTAATAAGTCTGTATAGTTTTCTACCAAGAGAATCCACATACAACTTTTATATAATATGACCCACAAGACATAATTTTACCTTCATTATCAAGAACCTCCTTACATATTTCAATCATCTGAATTTTATATAACTTTTCTTCCCATAGAAACCATAATGCAGTAAGTGTAATTAACTGAACAAAAATATAATTCAGAGGTAATGTTAATCTCTAATTTGATTGTATAATGAGGTAAAATATTATTTTTATGCTTTTTTTCCCAAGTGAAACCTTGTAATTATCCAGTAATAAAACATGGACAGCTATATTATTCATACAGAGGATACTTTCCAGCACATGTAAATCAAAAGTTTTCCTATTACTGTGATCAGTATTTTGTGCCTCCTTCACAATATTCCTGGGATTACCTGACTTGCACAGCAGAAGGATGGTCTCCAGAAGAACCATGCCTCAGTAAGTAAACGTATTTAAATTTATAGGCATAAATCCTTCAAAGAGTGAAGAGACAAAAGTATATAAGTGAGTACAGTTAAATGTTGTGTAACAACAGTAAGGCCAAGGGATGAGTTCTATGAGCAAAAACATCCAAATAGATCTTCCTTTTTCTAGAGGCTTTTCATGTAAATCCTGTGAGAGATACAGAGGCTTTACAAGAATATCTGCATCATTTATACATATTTTAATCATAAAACAAAGCTAAAATAATATGGAATATTGATCTCATTTCAAACAAGCATGTGGTAGTAACTTTCATTTTTATTGTTACATGTTATATTTGAATAGTAATGCATTCTCAGGTAAATTCTATAAGGTTTATCTTTAATGTACTATTTTACCAAATTTATGTTTTTTTCTATCATATTATTTTTATGATCCTTAGGAGAATGTATTTTCAAAAATTTAGAAAATGGACAAACCCCAAGCAGTGAAAGAAAAGTTTTACAGGGTGAAACTGTAAGTGTTCGCTGCGATCATGGCCACAGTCTTGAAAATAATCAGAACACAATGACCTGCACCGAGAATGGCTGGTCTCCTCCTCCCAGATGCATCCGTGTCAGTGAGTAAACTGGGCTGAGATTCCAGCTTGTTCATAATTTTCTAAGACTCAGCTGCATTATCCACTGCAAAATGTTATATCAACCTCTTGTTTGGCCAAAGGACCTATTTAATTTTATTGTTTACAAATGTCTGTGAGTGTACCTATGGACTTCTTGATAAGTATATAACAAAATAAATGTACCTATTGATAGACATTAGTCAAGAAAATAGGAAAAGATCCACAAAGAAGAAACCTGTAGTAACAGAGTGAGGTCAGAAAGATGGCAGGAGTCTCACTGTCTCTCCTGATATAAACGCAGACTTTGATCGTCATTTGCGGATAAGAGTATCTTTGTGGGGGTTCAGGAGTCTGGCAGGGACACGACAGCAGCTGCTAGAGCACAAAGATTGGAGACTGGACGCGTCCCTGGGGGATAGAGGAGGAGCCTCACTTTGCCCCCAGCGGCCCTGCTTAGCGCCAAGACAGACCCCTCGGCCAGGATTTCACCTGTGGGGAGATGAGAGCGCGTGAGCAAGGGCGGGTCCTCATCTTCCAGCGCACTCCTCTCTCCCCTTGTCCAGACACTGGGGTCACCTGCATGGCTGGGGGTGGGGAGAGGCCAGGAGCACAGCCCCCAGGGCTAGAATTCTTCAAGGAACATGGTTCCTGCTGACCACGTGGAGACCCCACCAGGGAGCCCCAAACCATTGCAGACACCATGCTTGTGGTCCTGCTCACCCCTGGGCCCCTCATCTCGTCCACATCCCCTCCCCAGGGCCAGCTCCCTGTGTAGAGCCCCACGGTGGCATCTAAGCCTTTGCAGATGACCTGAGGGACATCTAGAAGCCAGCCTGTCTCCGTGGGTCTGTGGGAAAGCACACGGATGTGAGCATTTGGCATTGCCCAGGGAAGCAGCCAGGAAACTGTCCAAACAGAGACTGTCTTTGCTGTGTTGATAGAAGCATATGAGCTTCAGAATTCTCTCCCAGGTAGAACTGAGTACATGGGACAGGTGTATCCTTAAAAAAGGTCTGAAAAAGTCTCAAAACCCCCATCAGTGTGACAGAGTACTTCCCTCCCCAAGTCAGTCTGTAAAGACTGGAGGAAGTGACTGCTTCTTTAAATGCAAACACAGCAACCTGAGACTTCAAGGGACACAGAAATCAAAGGTCTAAAATATTAACAGAGAAACACAATAGTTTTTCAGTTACTGACTCCAAATAATGGATATGGATGATTTGTCTGATAAGTAATTAATAGTAATTGCTTAAGAATTTCATTGAGATAGAAGAAAACAGTGGAGAAGGAAACGACAACCCACTCCAGTATTCTTGCCTGGGAAGTCCCATGGACAGAGGAGCCTGGTGGGCTACAGTCCACAGAGTCTCAAAGAGTCAGACACAACTATAGCGACGCAGCATGAACCCATACAATCCTTTATATTTAGAGTAATTATTGATAGATAAGGATGTATTAATACTATCTTTTCTTACAGGATGTTTTATAGTTTCCTAATTTCTTTCGTCCTCTGACTGCTTGCCTTTGTGAATTCATGATTTTTGTTATAGTACTATGCCTTTATAAGCTTCTCTTTACCATTTGTGAATCTAGTATGGATTCCTTCTTTGTTTACCATGAGATTTACTTAAAACATCTTTCAGAGAGAACAGTGTATTTTATGCTGATAATATATGAACATCAATCACATATTGAATCTCCTTCCTTTTACCCTCCTCCATTTTATCTTTTTGATGTCATGATTTGCCTCTTTTTATATGGTGTGTACTTAATTTAAAAAGTAATTGTCACTATTTTTATATTCTTGCACTTTAACTCTTAAATAGTTAAGTGTTTAACATTCCATATCAAAGTACTGCAGTGTTCTGAATGTGAACGTGCACTCAAATTTACCAGTGTACTAGGTATTTTCATTGAATTAGTTAGCATTCTTTCACTTCAGCTTCAATAGTTCCTTGTAGTGTTTCAGTAGGGAAGGTCTGTGTGCCTGCTCTGTCACCTCAGCTGTGTCTGACTCTTTGCCACCCTGTGGGTGGCAGCCCCCTAGGTTCTCTGTCCATGGGGTGCACCAGGCAAGAATACTGGAGTGGGTTGCCATGCCCTCCTCAAGGAAGGTCTGCTGCTGCTAAGTCACGTCAACCGTGTCCAACTCTGTGCGACCCCATAGATGGCAGCTCACCAGGCTCCCCTGTCCCTGGGATTCTCCAGGCAAGAATACTGGAGTGGGTTACCATCTCCTTCTCCAATGCATGAGAGGGAAAAGTGAAAGTGAAGTCGCTCAGTTGTGTCCAACTCTTTTTTTTTTTAGCTTTGAATCAGAATTTATTTACTTATTTATTTTCCCTTGAACCTACCTTTATTAATTTTTCTTCCATTTATTTTTATTGGTTGGAGGCTAATTACTTTACAATATTGTAGTGGTTTTTGTCATACATTGACATGAATCAGCCATGGATTTACATGTGTTCCCCATCCCGATCCCCCTCCCACCTCCCTCCCCATCCCATCCCTCTGGGTCTTCCCAATGCACTAGCCCTGAGCACTTGTCTCATGCATCCAACCTGGGCTGGTGATCTGTTTCACCCTTGATAATATACATGTTTCAATGCTGTTCTCTCAAAACATCCCACCCTTGCCTTCTTCCACAGAGTCCAGAAGTCTGTTCTGTACATCTGTGTCTCTTTTTCTGTTTTGCATATAGGATTCTCGTTACCATCTTTCTAAATTCCATATATATGTGTTAGTATACTGTATTGGTCTTTATCTTTCTGGCTTACTTCACTCTGTATAATGGAAGAAAAGGGAACCCTCTTACACTGTTGGTGGGAATGCAAACTAGTACAGCAGCTATGGAAAACAGTGTGGAGATTTCTTAAAAAACTGGAAATAGAACTGCCATATGACCCAGCAATCCCACTTCTAGGCATACTGAGGAAACCAGATCTGAAAGAGACACGTGCACTCCAATGTTCATCGCAGCACTGTTTATAATAGCCAGGACATGGAAGCCACCTAGATGCCCATCAGCAGACGAATGGATAAGGAAGCTGTGGTACATAAACACCATGGAATATTACTCAGCCATTGAAAAGAATTCATTTGAATCAGTTCTAATGAGATGGATGTCTGATTCTCAGTGATCCCATCTAGCTGTGTTCAATTTTCCCAGTATTTTTTGATCTGGTGAAGTCTTTATATTCTTTTCTTTTCTGAATGATATTTTCAAATATACTTCTTTGGCTATTTTCTTCTTTTTTTTTTTGCATTTATTTTTATTAGTTGGAGGCTGATTACTTTACAATATTTTAGTGGTTTTTATCATACATTGACATGAATTAGCCATGGATTTACATGTATTCCCCATCCCGGTCCCCCCTCCCACCTCCCTCTCGACCCGATCCCTTTGGCTCTTCCCAGTGCACCAGGTCCGAGCACTTGTCTCATGCATCCAACCTGGGCTGGTGATCTGTTTCACCCTAGATAATATACATGTTTCAATGCTGTTCTCTTGAAACATCCCACCCTCGCCTTCTCCCACAGAGTCCAAAAGTTTGTTCTATATATCTGTGTCTCTTTTTCTGTTTTGCATATAGGATTATCATTACCATCTTTCTAAATTCCATATATATGTGTTAGTATACTGTAATGGTCTTTATCTTTCTGGCTTACTTCACTCTGTATAATGGGCTCCAGTTTCATCCATCTTATTAGAACTGATTCAAATGAATTCTTTTTAATGGCTGAGTAATATTCCATGGTGTACATGTACCTTCCTTATCCATTCGTCTGCTGATGGGCATCTAGGTTGCTTCCACGTCCTGGCTATTATAAACAGTGCTGCGATGAACATTGGGGTGCATGTGTCTCTTTCAGATCTGGTTTCCTCGGTGTGTATGCCCAGAAGTGGGATTGCTGGGTCATATGGCAGTTCTATTTCCAGTTTTTTAAGAAATCTCCACACTGTTTTCCATAGTGGCTGTACTAGTTTGCATTCCCACCAACAGTGTAAGAGGGTTCCCTTTTCTCCACACCCTCTCCAGCATTTATTGCTTGTAGACTTTTGGATAGCAGTTCTTTGGCTATTTTCTTCAACACTTGGAATATATCATCCCACTTTGTCCTGACTCACTAGGTTGAGAATTTCTCACTGCTGAGAAATATTCTTAGATCCAAATGAAGCCTCCTTAGTAAGTTCCAGGTCAGGAAGCAACAGTTAGAACTGGACATGGAACAACAGACTGGTTCCAAATAGGAAAAGGAGTACGTCAAGGCTGTATATTGTCACCCTGCTTATTTAACTTATATGCAGAGTACATCATGAGAAACGCTGGGCTGGATGAAGCACAAGCTAGAATCAAGTTTTCTGAGAGAAACATCAATAACCTCAGATATGCAGATGACACCACCATTATGGCAGAAGTGAAGAACTAAAGAGCCTTTTGATGAAAATGAAAGAAGAGAGTGAAAAGGCGGGCTTAAAAATCAACATTCAGAAAGCTAAGATCATGGCATCTAGTCCCATCACTTCATGGCAAATAGATGGAGAAACAGTGGAAACAGTGTCAGACTTTAATTTCCTGGGCTCCAAAATCACTGCGGATGGTGACTGCAGCCATGAAATTAAAATACACACTCTTTGGAAGGAAAGCTATGACCAACCTAGACAGCATATTAAAAAGCAGAGACATTACTTTGTCAACAAAGGTCTGTCTGGTCAAGGCTATGGTTTTTCCAGTGGTCATGTATGGATGTGAGAGTTGGATTGTGAAGAAAGCTGAGCGCCGAAAAATTGATGCTTTTGAACTGTGGTGTTGGAGAAGGCTCTTGAGAGTCCCTTGGACTGCAAGGAGATCCAACCAGTCCATCCTGAAGGAGATCAGTCTTGGGTGTTCATTGGAAGGACTGATGCTGAAGCTGAAACTTCAGTTCTTTGGCCACCTCATGCGAAGAGTTGACTCATTGGAAAAGACCCTGAAGCTGGAAGGGATTGGGGGCTGGAA